TACCTACTTAAATTAAGTGCAAACACATATGTAAGAAAATTAGGTTTTGTTTAACTTTTGTAGGAATTTTATTTTTAATTCAGGTCAGGCCAGTCAAATAAGATAATTTATGTTAAGACTAAGAAAAAAAACAACTAAATTAGACTAATATCTAATTTTAAGGGCAAAAACACTCATTTACCTGCTCAATTAAACAGCAAATACACAGATTTTAAGAATATTTCCATTATTTTAAGATCAGTTCTTAAAAGTCCAAATGCTGAAAGCATAAAATGGGATTTTTAAGTTTTTATTTCCACTTAACATCCAGTTCCAGTGTTCACCTCCTGACCTTTGACCTCACGCTGACCAATGGGAACAGATTCGTTCCTTCGGATCTAACGAGCCCTCGTTCGTTTTCGGAGATTCATCTCCAGGTTTGCTAACAGATTCAGTTTAATCCAAACACAAAAATGTTTTCATCTGATCTTCATGGCAGAAAAACATCAATCCTTGATCCGCTCCTTCTTTAAACATATCAGCAAACTCACAGGCATCTAAAAAATGTCTCAAACTGGTCTGAAAACAGCTGATAAAAGCGTTAGAAAATGCTGAGCAACTGGTTACTATGGTGACGCCCTCTTCCAATGGGATGCCAGCAGAAAACACAGGATTCATTTTTCATCAGACAATAAAACAATAAGTGAAACTTATCTGCAATTTACTGCCAATTTCATAAAATGGAAAAGAAGCACAAAGACTTCCTGATGTCGTTTTTCTTTTTTTTTGGTTTGATCCACGTCATAAAAAAACTCAATGACGCGTCAGAATCCAATCAGTGCGTCAGAGCAGCTGCTTTAAGGTTTATTTATAAAATAATTTACCCAGGAATAAACCTTCTGCTGCTATCTTACCTGGCAACTGTTGGTGCTATAAAAAAAACCAAAGCAGGTTTTAGCAGGAAAACAAAACAGGACTTAACTTCTGCAAACTCCAAATATGGACACACCTTTACAGGTTAGGTATCAGTTTATATTCAGGTTCTTTTTTAATCACCAGGCTGATTCAATCTGAGTTACGTTTCACAAGAAATGCAGAAAGAAACTTATAGATTTGTGAAATGCTCAGCACTTTTTGTTAGATTTCAGCTCTGGTTGGTTCCTCTGATTGTCCAAAATAAGAAGAATCTAAGTGTGAATAAATAAGAGTTTCTCTGAGGTACCTGAAGCTGTAGAACTGAACCTGGAAGTGGGCATCCGTCGGGGTCCGAGGGCCCGGAGAGAAGCTGAGGATGTGCTCCATGTTGAAGGAGGAGATGGAAACGTTGGATGGTTCCGGGAGGGAAATGCAAACTGCTGCAGAAGGAGGGAGAGAACAGGAGCAAAGTCTTTAAAGATCTACAAAAACTAGAGTCTGCTGAGAACCTCCTGCAGCCTGGAGACCTGTTGCACATTCATCTGGGCTTTAAAGGTGGAAAAACACAGAAATAAAGACAGTAAAAGGTGAGCAGCCTGTGTGTGACAGCCTGCCTGGGTGAAGCCAGCTGACCTTACCCAGGTGCAGATGCAGGAGAAGCAGCGTCCACAGCCCCATCATCCTCCATAGACGGTCTGCCGGCTCACGGCTGAAGCTCAGAGCAGCCAGAGGAGGTTTTGTTGTTGTGTCAGAGTGGAGAACATATAGAGGGAGGTGATGGGGGGTGGAGGTGCGGGGGCTGGGAAATGAGCACTGTCATTCAAAGTTTCTGTTTCCTGAGAAGTCCCTCCCTGTGTGTCTGCAGCCTGAACGGACGGTGAGAGGCAGACACCTTTTCTGCAGCTGCAGGCAGTCGCACAGTCAGGATCAGGATCAGTTCTACTTAATCTCAGCTTTAAATCCTCTAATCCAGACTAAAATGTTCCAGATCAGCTGTTCTTCCAGCTCTACACTGCAAAAACAATCTAGAAATAGCTAAAGATTTCTTAAATTAAGTGTATTTACTCTTAATTTGAGTAGGTAAGTAAGAAAATTTGCCAATGGAACGAGTATTTTTATTCCTAAAAAAAGATAATTAGTTAAAACTCACTTGAAATACGACAATGCAATCGTTTTTTTTTCTCATTTTAAATGTAAATGATCTTGTTCCATTGGCAAATTGTCTCAGGTATCTCCTCAGTTCAGGAAAAAATACACTTATTTTAAGAAAAATTTACTTATTAAGATTTAAATTTTTTGCAGTGTGTGGAGTTTAAACACGTTTTAGAACAGAACCGACCCTTATCAGCCAACCAGTCTGTTTAATGAGTCACTGAACATGAAAAAGACTTTAACTGAGAGGAAACGCTGTCAGAAAGACAAACACGCAGCTTAATGCAGG